ATGCATTTTCAACAACCTCAGCTTCGTAAGGACTAATGATGTTTTGTCCGAGATTATGGGAGCTGGCGAAGTGTTGACCTATCGCGGCAGCCTTCTCTTCAGGAGTTATCAGATGAACCACTGGGCCACCTGGGCTATCCGGGGGGGTCAGTAGTGTAATGGGTCTTGGCTTATTTTTAAGGTTTTTGGTTAGTTTCCAACAGGGTTTTGCACAATCTGGGAGAGAGTGGATCCTGTTAGCAAAGTTTTGATTTCTGAGGTCCACCATTCTGGCTTGGATTATTTTTGTTAGGCGATTACAGTAGGTAAGCTGGTATTGCCTTCGAATGGCGTTACGGAGTCTAATGAGATTTTTGGTAACTCTATCAAGATTCAGAGTATTGCTCACCTGTCAGGATACTGGCACGTGTTGTTCCCTGGCCCGGGATATCACCTCCTTGAAGGCACGCAAACACCGGTCAACGTCTTCGGGCGTCTCCGGAAGGACAATGGAGTCGACACAGTGTTGGCACTGATCACAGCTAACGCGATGGTAGTTACGTCGGGAAGCTTGGAATCGGTTGCCGGATGAGCCCACATCCGAACTCAGCTCCTGGTGGGCCACAGGTTGCGAGAAGTTGTCTCCCATGTTTTTGACGAAAGGTGTCGATGGTGGCGTGAACGCCAGACCGGCTCAACCGGCTGGAAGAGTCCGGTGCTATTATGGTGTAGTGAGCCTCTTGCATGTCGTCGTTCAGGATTGTGCCGTTTTGGTTGCGTCGACTGTACTTCTCACGCCGTCGAGTTAGTCTGATGATGTCTCTCCGCTGGTCTGCTGCCAACCCGTCCTTGATGGTGACTTGTTTGGGGCAGTAGGCCGCAATGATGGTAATAGGGCTGACAGGAGTGGAGACTTTCACACCCACTGCTTCGATCATCTTCAGCTGGAAACTCGGTAGTAGTCGACAGCCAATATTTCTCCTTAATGCGATAGTCACTTCTCCGCAGGAGCTGGTCCAGTCTAGCCTTTCGAGCCGAAAATCGGGGAGGTGAAAATTTATCTCTGGCTTCAGGTGTGTTTCGGTGATGACGGCGATGTCAATGCTATGTCCATTGAGGAAATCAACGAACCTAATGATTTTGCTCTTGAGCGAGCAAGCGTTCCAGTTGACTATTTTGAAGGCTTCACTGGTCCATACTTTTGCACGAGGGACATAACTGCACCAAGCTGTTCAGGTAGTGTCTTGGTGGTACGCAAGATTATGATCACCTCAGTCACGAGGATCACTAGTTCGTCGCTTGTGAGTGGTGAATTGTCTTTTGACTCACCTGACACAACACGGGTGTACGATAATCGCGGGGCAGTAGAGCCTGGTTTAGTGGAAGCGGTGCTAGGTTCGGGACCATACGACGAGCCTGAAGTACTTGAAACGTGTCCATATTGGCAATATGATTACATGATTATTGCAGCGGCGACCAGGTTGGTTCCTCGTGGAAGCCTGTTGTCGGATCTGGATGAAGGCCGCTCGCTTGGGACATCTCCTATCGCTGCCCAGATGGTTGGAATCACAATTCACGCACTTAGGTTCAGCTTCTTCTTCCTTCTTGCAGGCGGTAGTATTGTGAGCCTCAGCACATTTGCCACAACGAGCTCCTCCCTTCCTTTCATTGGTGAAATGGTGAGCGATAAACCGAGCATTGAGCTCGCTCATGTGAGCATGCGCAATTTGTCGTTTGTTCGATTTGCGCACTATCGTTGCGTCCGTGTTTAGGATTTTTCAATACATTTCTGAATTTTGATTTTATTAATGCGACCCCTAGTATAGAAATTAAAGACGTAGTCCTACGTCAAAATATTCGGCCGTGGCGATTAAAAGAGAAAGTTGATGAAGAGAATCGATCAAAATCACTTGCACTCCTGCTTCCAAGTTTGGTTACAAGATTACAAGTCTGGAGAGCATTTTGTGTGGTCGTTGGGGGCGTGTGTTTCTGAATTTGGACAAACAGGCACAGATAGATGCTATTCCTACTCTTTACTGTAATAAGCTTGATGATTTAACCTCCGAAACTGTACAGAGTGCGTCTCTGTGGCTTTAAAGCGTTGTTACCGGCGGGTTACATATTATTGTTTAAATATTGATGTGGGGAGTAGGTCCAATAATTTGTAGTGAAATAACGGCCGATTCAAAGTGGGGGGCGATCGGTTTCGAAATGTGTGGATCTTGTGTAAGGGTTGTATAAGCAGCTAGGAGATAGGAGTGAAGGCTGCCTACGATCGGGGGCGGATGGAGAGAAACGCAACACCACGGTCGATGAGAAGAGGTAAGAGAGAGCCCGATGGTCAGTAGATTTAGGCAGTAAGTCGTGAGCCCTCGTAGAAGCGAGAAGGAAAGTTTGTTGCGTGTGGTGTGAAATTTGAGTCACCCTCGCCATCGGTCCAAGCCACGCGGTGAGAGAACGCTTTTGTTTTCTGGACCACTAGGAGACCTGACCATCACCCGTTCCCCGGCCAAGTCATCCGGTCATCACACCGTACTGCCACTCCAGGTTTAATCGTCCCTGGCTTATTCTATCGTCGGCCGAATCAACCTGGCACCGGCCAAGTAACCCGGCTATCCACGAATCTGCCCGGTCAGTCCGCCAGCTTGCCAGACGATCATCAGTCGGACATCAATCGCCACCGCATTGCGGACAGTCAGTCCTTCGTAGTAGGCCCGCCATTGTTCGTCGTCGACCCCTGCTATTGCAGGTTGACTACCCAACAAAGCCCAGATCACCCCGGCCATTCAAGTCCTCACGTTGCCTACCCGGCAGTCGATCAGCACCCGATATACCTCCCGGGCTACCTTCGTTGCCGTTTAGAGCCAGGATTACCGGGAAACTCACACGGGCGTCTACCATCGCCGTATCCCGACCAGGGTCGGCCAGACCACCTGCTATCATCACCGCTTCCCAGCCAGAGTCAGCCGAACCACCAGCCGATCACCGTTCGATACTGCCCCGCCCCCACTGTCATCGCCGGCCAATAAAGTCCAAAGTAAAAAAAAAACATAATTTTAGATCTCCTCACATCCGATATCTCTCCCACGCCAATACGCCCTGAGACCCGGAACCTACAAGGGACTTGAGTACCCATCCCTAGAGCTGCCGTTGGTTAAGACCAGCAGGTTGGTGTTTTAGGGAGTTCCCTTCAGGGACTCAGTGGTTCCGGGGCGGAAAGTAGTCTTATAGCGTAGATGACATCCATGGCCGCTTACGCTTGGCGTGTTGAGTGTAGGTGACGGTCCCGGATCTCATTTTCCAGGAACACCTTCAGCACACCTCGTAGATCAGACCGGAGATATGCTTGACACCGCCACGGCGAACCAGACGACGGATGGCGGTTATCTCGAAGAACCTTGCGATGACGCTTTGTGCCTTCTTTACCAAGACCTTTTCCTACTTTGCCACGACCAGTCATTGTTGCTTGTTAGGTCGAAGAATGGGACCACTACCTTCTTACTGCTGCTATTGTGGCTTCTGGTTCCTGCCCACCACGCCGTACGAAGCGAAAATGAGTTGAGACTAGCAGTAGTGGTAAAATTACGTTTATTTCTGTTAATTTATGATTTAAAATTTTAAATGATAAGCCTATCAGGCTCTTCATCTTTGTTTTATTTGTTATTCTAATTTACATATTCACGTTTATCTACTAGTCTACAGAATACACCTTGAGAGGTGTGTTATGTTTGAATTGAAAAAAGTGATAACCTACCTAACTACGAGTATAACTTAACCTAACGTTCTAGATCACGTATGATCTGATGAGTTGATCTCAGACAGGTTTAACCTTTCCAGGATAAAAACTCTCCGTTCTTCTAATTTCTGAATTCCAGCCAGGAGGTGGATCTCAGAATTTCTAGTTCGCGGGGGGACTGTAAACGATCATCCTAAGGATCTTGTTCTGGATCCTTTGGAGTTTGAGGTGATGGCATTTGGTGCAACTCTCCCAGATTGGCATACCGTACTCGATTACGGGAAGGATGATTTGTTTGTAGACAGCAAGCTTAATTTTCAGGGACTGGGTAGACTTCCTGTTGATGAGTGGATACAGTGATCTCGAGTTGAGTTGAGGCTATACAGCAGTGCTCTTTTATATCTTTTCAGGTTAAAGCAGAATGATGTGCAACCAAGTGGTACTCGATTATGACGACTGGGTTTGGGAAGAACGTTTATTTCATGAAAACAGTGATAAAATTATCGGTTTTTAATTGTACATTGGACAATACTTGACATTACCGCTTTTTCAATAGTTTCTTGTTGAAAATCATCAGTCAGAAGCATTGCTATTGATGCGTAGAAATATTTCTGATCGATTGATGATAAAGTTATTGAAATTGCTCCAGGCGCAGCTGAGTTATGAATGTTCAAAATCTTTCATAATTTTGTTACATGATCCATTTTTGGATTTCACAAAGTGTACCCCCATATAGAAATCACAGACGTAGTCGTACTTAAAAAAATGCACAGGCTTCGAAAACCTCAAAACGAAGTTATGCGATACCGCACTCTATTATTAAATTTAAACAATTTAGTCACTTCTGCATTGAACCATGCGCATCAATTCCTTGGACTTTTCAACTTCTAGGCATATATTGTTCATAAGAAACGTAATGTCAATCTATTCCAATCCAATTTTGCATTGTTTTGAACATTTCTATAAAATCATGACTTTAATCAATTGACTTAAGCCTCTCTTTATTTCAAATACAATAGGATACGAACATCCAGCATCCAGTGAATCCATTCCATCTACTCCATTAATCATACACCCACTGTTGAGCATTGATCGTTGAACACGTGAAGATGATTGTTATTCTTTTTGCTCCATCTCAGAGCGGCCTGGCTCTCGGCCTGGCCGGTGTAATTAGAACCCCCTAAATACCTCCATCATCGCGAACCACAAAAAAACGATCGGCTATTGCTTCGATTTTCACCGAAATTCGGTTTGGGAAAGATGCGCTACCGTGTTGCGAATTTACCTTCTTATTATTTGCAGAAAACCTAATTGCTTCCTCGGTCGCCTCGGATCGTCTTGCAGAAAACAGTAGCAGCAACCGGAGCAGAAGAGCTGGCCTCTGGGGAAGATTATCCTCCGCGCGGTGGTGGTTTGGATCGCGGCGTGTACAAGATAGCTGAGTTGAACGAACGCTTTTACAATTTCACACTCCGGCACCGGGAGCAATCAACGGGAATTGGTTTCCGGAATTATTTTCGTTCACCTTTTCGCAAAACACGGGTGCTTGTTTTCACATGACACATTAATTTTGCTTTATTTTCTTTGCTTGCACTTTTTATTTTCCTCTCTTTTCGGAGCACTTAATTAAAGCACCAGTTAGATTTGCTTGCATTTCCACTTTCTTCGATCTTCTCTTTTCTGCTTTGCGACTCTTAGCAATTTTCTTCCGTTACTTTCAAAATTTGCACCGAATTTTCCACGTTCGATACTATCCAGTCGAACAGAATGAGCATACACACACCGCAATAATCCACTGATCCGGAAAACCGCTAAGCTCTACACTTGGAATCACATTCAAACACTTGTGCCACTTCCCTTCCAATCATCCCCGAATCACAACTATTTCTCTCGTCCTTCCGAGCGTCACAACACTGACTGTGTAGGCAGGAGCTGAATCCCCCTCTCAAAAGGGAAGCTGCGGTGTTCGCCACCGTCCGCTACCACTCTACCGTACCCGTCGTATGAACTCGGATTGAATCTAGCACTTTGAACGCGTTCGGAAGCTCACCGGACAACCACTTTCGATGCCAGTTCGACGCGAACTGACGGAAAAATAGACCGGCTCGGATGGGAGGACGCCCAGCGTTTCGCTAATGTCACGCAACATTTTCCCAGACTGTTGCGCTACGACGCGATGACCGCGGCAGCTCAGCATCCAGCAGCAGAGTGCAAGAGCGTGAGTGCCCAATGAACAACAACAAGCGAGGAAAACGTGTTTATCAATGAAAGGGTCGCTCACCGGTGATGCTCGTGTAGGGTGAAGAGTGGAGCAAAGCAGAGTGTTGCCCATGATGCTGCAAACGTGCAATTCTCAACGACCGGCACACCGGGGGCCGGCCAGATTGATTGACGGGTGCCGCTGCTGGCTCTCTGATTGAAGGGAGTGGGGGGGGGGGGGGTAGTGAGCGCATTTTTTCTCGCCTTCCTGCTTTGAATCCGTAGGTTACCGAGGAAATATCTTTCTCCTCTCCGGGAGTTCTGTTTGCCTTTTGCACTCGAGACCTATTTTCTGGTTTCCCGCAAATCGTGTCAGCCCGCATTGCTGCTCTTACTTGGCGTGACCCCTTGGGGGTGATCTCTGTCCGCAAAGCTACGAAGCGGAGGAAAGATATGAATGTAGTTCGGAAGACCACAAATCTCGTGTCTAGTTTGAATTGTGCATTGTTTGTTGGTTTAGTCTGACTTTTTGCGATGCGGGCAGTTGAATGTTCGTTTATTTTTCGCGGAATTGGCAGTGGGGGTGAATGAGAAATCTGAATCACTTTGGCTTGAAGTTTGTTGATCTCTATTGAAAACACTGCAGCAGGATGATATGTTGATTTTAGAATTTCTTTTCAATCAGAAGGAGCTGCCTGGAATGTTTAGGTTTCGCGAACATTGGAAAACATTGTAAATTGAGACGTAATAGTCAGAATCGAAACAATGTCGAGGAAGCAGTTACAGTCAAGATTCCTATAGTACGGATAGGGGCCGTACTATAGGAACCGGCACTAATCCGATAATCCGATCCCACGTACCATATGGGATTAGATATTAATTAACTAGTTCGTTTATTTACCATGCTCAGTCGTGTGTGACACTTTGCGGAGCCAAAAATCAGTAATGTTTGAATTTACATTTTAAACAGCAGTAGCTTTTGGTATTGGGTACCAATTACTCGTGGTGGGCTCGAGGTAAATGGGTAACAATTTCGATTGGAAGGAGCTAGGTAGGAAACTGGTTTCTGAAGCCTCCTTCAGATACTACTCTCGGGCGGTTGACCAAATCCTGGCTGGGCAGGGGCAAGTAGCACAGAAACAGGAGGATAATAAGACTGGGACACAATGGCTGGAAATTGTCTGGAAAAGAGGGGATGGTCACTAGACTGATGCAAAATTTGAAATTTTCGCTCCACAGTGCTCAAACGGTTCCAAATTGGGCCCTGATTAGCCTCCCAAAATTTGAACTAATTTAGTTAGAAACTGACTTGGCACAAACCATTTGAAGTTTATATGGGAATTACTATGAAGAAACCATAATTTCGGTTCATATCTATCTCAAAATTCACCAGTTCACTCTACTTTAAAAAATGATAGCTGAGTTTGTTGAAAATTTTCTCAGCTACAACTTTGTTGAAGACCACTTTTCGATCAAATGTAATGTTTCAAGTCACTGATGTCTTATGATTATGCTCAATCAACTGTTCAGCAGACAACATTGGTGTTTATGGCGCGTAGAATAGAGGACAAAAATCATGGCTACTATGTCACACTGCAGAATACAGTGTTGCCCACAATACAGTTGCTTAATCTTGCCATAAGATTATCAATCTCTTAAACAATTAATAACTATTTAATTTGACGTTTGGCTGAAAAGTGATTTTCTGCAAAGTTGTAGCTGATAAAATTTCCCATAAGAATAGCAATGGAATTCTTTAACAGTACAATATGTAAAAAGAGTAGAAGGCAATGCAAAAAAAGTTTTGTTTTCCCATAGTGATTTCCATATAAACTTCAAATGGTTTGTGCCAAGTCAGTTTCTTATCAAATGAGTTTAAACTTTCGGAGGCTAACCAGGACCCGATTTGAAACCGTTTGAACACTGTGGGGCGAAAATTTCAAATTTTGCATCAGTCTAATGGTCACATCAAACTCTAACATCATACAAACAAAGGAATTCGTAGATCGCCTGCATGTAGGGAAGATCACGGGTTCCCAAAACATATTTTACTTCACGGAAGGGTTGTCTACCTCGGACCACTAGGGTATCCAACAGTCATGCGTCATTAGGGATAATTGGAGACTATAGTTAAGAGTTAAGAGTTATAACTCTTATTGTAGGGTCCAGAGATAACTACCTAGTGTATTCTGAAAAGTTATTAACAAGATAGATAACCACCTTTTGGGAAAATTCCGCATCTGGAAAGTCACAAGGCTGGTCCTGCGGAAGACCCGGATCATCCTTAAAAGTGGCCAATTCATGAAACTGATCCTACACAGATAAAAATTCTGAATATTAATTGTGATGTAAATATTCATTCATGTGAACAAGTTCATGCCATGTCATTTCATGCAACCGAGCAACTTGTAAACAATGTTGTTTACAAAGATGAGCTTTCGTATACCACATTTGCTACATTGCATGAAAGGTCTCAGAACTTTACTTGATTTATAATGTAAACTTATATGATATGTGACGCTCTCTTTATGGGCATCATAATGAACAGAAATTTACACTACTTTTTCGAACTGTGTAGAGCTCCGTGGGCCTCATAGCCTAGTCAGTAAAGACACGGTATTTCCAAGCCGGAGGCGGCGGGTTCGATTCCTGGTCCGGTCGAGGAAATCTATCGGGTTGGAAATTTTCTCGACTTCCCTGGGCATAGAGTATCATTGTGCTTGCCACGCAATATACAAATTCATGCATTGGTATTGGTATCGAAAGCTCTCAATTAATAACTGTGGAAGTGTATTTAGAACACTAAGTTGACAGCACGCAATAAGCTAATATGCGATAAGCAATTAGCTTGATATGCGAAAAAGAAGAAGAAGAAGAAGAGAGCTCCGTGGTTTTTGAAAACCACTCATAGACGCCTTACTTACTTTACCAATCAGGCTAAGGCCTTGTTGTCCTATACTGTCCGAAGAAGTCTTAATCGCATCTTTCTGCGAGATATTCGACAGTTGTTGTGTGGGTACCGAGAGTCAATGTGATGTTATGTCAAAGGTCTTGTTTCATTGCAGTAAAGCAGCGTAGGACCGTAGAGCGTAACTCATTTGGTGAATAGAATGAAACCATTGGCGTTGTGGTGGTCAGGTTTTAAAGTGGGTAGATTAGATTTGGTTAAAAAGGCCGGCCTCACGAAGGAAGCACATCAGTGCCACAGTCCTAACCAGGTTGTCACTGATGCTACCCGAAATGTAGTAGCATTCACGGGAACCATCATATGGTGGGCAGTGACAAATAATATGTTCCAACGAGTGAGGCGTTCGACAGAGTTCACACAATTTCCGGAAAGGCCCGCTCCCGGAGAAATTGTGCGATATTCTGGTGTGACCAGCTCGACATGATCACCTGCATTCGGTGCTCCGAAGGATTTCCCACTTACGAGTGTCGCCTGAATAGGTCCTTCGATTGAGACTATGAGGTTGACCATGAATTCCAGATAGCGTTTTAAACTCATTTTTTAGATGCCTCGCTGGGATCTCCCGGGTGAATAGTAATACTAACCGGTGGAAACTAACGATTTTAAATTGGCTCACTATTTGACTAGCCTATTGGTCCCAAGCAAATGAGCTTAAGTTGGAATTATTTATTTTCATTAGTTTAAGCATTAGGTTAATATTTTGTAGTGTAGACTTACAATTCATTGTAGGCTTCGTACTCTAGGTTATGTAAGGTAATAATAGAATTCAGTATCTTACTAAGGCTTGTTCTCGAAAATAATGCACCATTTTTATCCCTGTGTAGCTTTTTTATCCGTGAGTTACCGATCTGAATTTACAATATCGCTGTATGAAGGGCCAAAAACGGAGGTGCGGACCCGTAAGCAGAAACACTTACACAAAATCCACGGGAATTTAAGAATCTCCTTCCAACGATACGATCCAACAAATCGAATAACACAAGTCGCAATACTTATTAAGCTTCCTACAGGATGGTTTGTAAAGAAGGGCGCGTCAATCTCACTGAAACTGTTGGAGTAGAATTCACGCCACCACAATCGAATCGGTAGGATAAAGAAAATGATAGTGTTTATTCCCTCCTAGACTCCGGTTGTCATACCACTCCATCGTCCAGTCCCAGGTCAAATGATACCCTGATGCTCCCGCCCAACCCAGTATTTATTTATATAATGAAAATATATGAAGTGGAGAAATGAAATCTATCAAAACATTAAATATGAAATAATGAATATAAATTTATATTGATAAAATAGTTGATATTCAGCAATGAACATAATAATTATTTTACATATAATAAGATGCAGCTCTAGGTTTCCTCAGCTCACAATATCAAGTGGATGTAGCACTGAAATTTCAAGGTTATATTAAGCAAATATATATTTTTATCTCTAATTACTAATAATGTAAGGATGTAAATGTAAAGTGTAAAGTGTGATGTATAACTAACATGACTAACAATAAAATGGGATTACGAGAAAAATAAAGGAAAGATCTCACCCGATATGTT